AATATATTTTATCACGTTTTTATTTTCTGCAAAACAAAAAAAATGTACTACACTAAAAAAGTAGACAATAAATCAGATTTCGATACACTTGCCCGACGTGTGAAAATAAAATAGTATGAATAATTTTTCATGAACGACATACGCGCAATACAAACACTTTAGAGGTTTATAAAAAGGCCAACCTTAACCGTGGTATAACGATATTAATACAAACGGTTACCACGGTGGTTGTTCTGTGGTTTGATTGATAATGATAATATAGTGATAAACTTATACCAATACAAGATTGTATAAAAAAAGTATAGCGGTTATTGAGTGGCAGCATATTATATGAAATTTGCAAAGTACATTGAAAATTTAAGAAAAAAAAAATTACTTTCCGAAGGGAAAACTTCATCTTTCTTGTCTTTTTGCGTTTCTTTTTTTCTTTCTTATTATTTTCTTTATTTTTTTTTTTTAACGAGCGTTGTGTTACCTAAAAACGAACAAGTTTAAAATGTCATTATTTTATTCAACGCGATATGGCCACACTGATAGAAGTCACAGTCTCGTATTACTTTGTTTTCTTATAATAATATCATGGTATTGTATTACGTTTTTCACTTTTCCACTGAACGTACTTATAATAATACATTTTATTCGGACAAAAGATGACACCGAAAGGCCCGTTGCCCTTTTAATTGCAACAACTAATCGGTTTAGAAATATAAATATACAAACAGAGTTGTAGAAATTCTTATTCGAATGATTATAGTCACGCTGTGTTCAAAAATACAACAATTATCCGAGTAATTTCAAAAAGTAATTATTTCTAATCGTTTTTCACAATCATTTTCTTAGGAAAAAAATTCGTACACTACATGTTGTCGTAGTCTTTCTAATACTTGCAGAAATATTTGCTAATTTTCTTCAGCACTTAACATCGTAAATTTGTTCAAAACGTCAGTTGATTCGACATTTTAATCGAATGAACAATATAATAATATTAAATTTTAATCGTCAAGTACGCCATTTATAATAACGCTATCGAAACCATTAAACGAAAAGTTATTTTGAAAATGTTAAAATACTTTGGCAATTATACAGGATGTTAACCGTCAAATTAAATAACATATTTTGTCCAAGTTTGAGTAAAACCAATATTAAAGTTTTGACAGTTAAGAAGATAAAGTGTATACAATATTTTAGCCGTGCCAAGTGATGGCTTGCCATTTTATAATTTTTCAATTATAAATCAATTATCACTCTTGCGGTTATTCAAGTAAATTGGTTTGGACGGTTGGCGGGCAACACTTTGGTAGGCAATCGGTATTTTTTATCAGACTATATTAAAGGGCTTTGTTTACAATTTAAAAAAAAAAAAAAATGGTAAATGGATATTTTGTTTGATTGTTAAGTCAACACAAAAATTATGTTTTTAAAAAAAGACCTTTTGTTGCTTTTTGAGCCAAAAAATAAACAATATCTTACCATAAATGTCCAAAAATATATTTCCTTTAAAAGTATTTGAGAAACTCGACAGAGATATTTAATGTCAATTAATGACATTATTTTTTCTCTCAAACAAAAGTATATTTTCAAATTTGTTTGGGAAAAATAACAAAATGTCAAGTGACATTTTATCATTTGTACCTATTATGTTCTTTTCGCTTTTCAACTTAATAAAAAACCGCATTTATCGCTTTCTTTCATTTTTTTTTAGACACTTTTTTTAATAATTCTAACTTATTTTCTGATTTATGTTTAAAAAAATCTCATTGAGGGAGGTTCCCTCGAAAATTTTGTCTTCTGTCTTTTTTTATTATATGCGGTTTATCTCTAAAACCATTGCTCAAGGTACTTTTGACTGTTTTGTGTAAACATGTTTTTACGGTACCCACTCATCGTGTGTGTGTGCCTTTGGTCTACTTGGCGGGCAAAATGGATTAAGTCGCTTGGGGTTCCGGTGTCGGAGCGTGCAAACTCAACAGTTTAGGAAGTAAAATGATTTCCGTCGTCTTCCCTCGGGACCCGGGATGATCGCGTTCCCGGCGGTGTTTGCACGTTCCTTCAAACGCCGGACACGTTACAGGAGGAAATTAGATGTATGTGCACGTTAAACGAGCGTCACAGACTCGCATAGGTATTGTGTGCAAAATTCTTCTGACCTTGTCAGTGGTCGCAGAACAGCCATAACACTACTACTAATATCGTTGTTGTTGTAACGTTAAAGGCCACCGCAAGCTAGTCCCGGGTGTGTTCGGGCACGTGCCCGCTGGCAAGAGAAATGGTGATAGAAAGAGATACCTACCCCGGAACGTGTTGGGACAGACTTTGGAATCCGCCAGGGGAATACATATCATAATAATTTGTACGGGTCGAAAAGTACAGAAACTCATTACTACCGAGTCCTTCGGGTCCTTTATGTACAAATAATATCCCGTACCTACTTGTATTACCACGAGGAATACCTACAAATATTAATTATACCGTACTTGACATAATACCTTCGTACGGGGTAGAGGTAGACAGTAATGTTTTTTATGCGTACATGCACTGTCCGACCGCACTTCAGCTCAAGTATGTATTTTAAACTGGTTATCGACCAGTTCATTTTGTTCAGCATGCCATTAATTTAATTTTTATCCAACAAAAACTACCCTTTGAGATAATATTTTCTACTTAGCTAAGTATAAAATTCCTATAACATTTCATCATTAAATAAAACAAGAATTTTATTAGGTGCCTTTCTACCTCATCATAAAGTCTTTGTATCGAGGCAAGCTTTACTTTTTACTGTCATCTGATTTTGGTTGGCCCCTAATAGAGACTTTGATGGAACTTCTGTTTGGACTTTTTGTCGAAGGATTTTAGTTCTAAATAATAATATTCCGACATAACGATATAATGATTAATGGCTGTTGTCACGAAAGCGAATGGTTATTTTACCCAACCAAAACTTGTTGCTCCAAGTAAACAAACAATAAAGTCTGTCGGCTGGGAAAGGGGTTGGGAGGTCGACCAAAAACTTTGTCGCTAAAAAACTACCTACGAACAAAAACAGCTCGACAAGGGATGTGCTCATTTAAAAGTAGGACTCGGGCGGGCAAGAAAATACCAAAGTATCAGTTGATACAAGTCTCAGTCAAAGGGTTTCCTTATTACATATTATACACACAGAGTGTCCCACGACGCTATGACGTTTTAGGGACTGATCTCTCTGGAGAAACTCTTCAGTCAGATTGTAAAGCAAATGTTCTAACACAACATCTCTGACAGCACGGACAATCCTACAGTGATATTCCTTTGGGAGAATGTAACCGGAGCTGTCCCCTATGGTACGTGTACTAAACTTTGATTGGAATCTTGTAAGACTCCCAATTCAATTCGACCGCATACTCCAGAGAATGGCTAAATCTGTACCATCGAAATGGGAGAGCTCGGTAAAAAAATGGTGTGTTCTGTACCGAAAAAAACAAAATTAATTCCATTGGACAACAATGCGAGTTTGGTCCGGACGAGACGAGTAAAGCCAAAAGCCATTAAAAATACGACGATAGTGGACACGTGACAAGAATGTATTTTCTTTTTATCTCTTTCACTCGCGGTAAGGTAACAGCAATCGTTAAAAAAAACAACAGCTTTAACCGGTCAAAAAAAAGATACCGAACAATAAAAAACCCATTACTACATGGACGTGGAACTGAATTTACTACTAACTATGCGGTAATAGGTTTATCGGTTTAAACGCTGAAAGGAATTTGTGATGATTTCAGAGTGTGATGGGGAAGGTTCCGCCCAAATAATAACCCACACGAAAATGGTCTTGTTTGTAAGTTTGTAGTTTCCCTTTTCAGTGAACTGCGCTTTATATTGATTGATTGTATGAAATTTCTATTAAAACTTCTTCAACGTTCACAATTACCAGATGAAATGGCAGCTATGATGATCTTATGACGATAATAATTTTGCATAAGCCGGCAACATAGATCACACTGATTTTAAATTTGAACAGTAATAATTGTAGTAACTTGAATAGATTTAATCTATGGTCGAATTGGTTAAAACTTGAGGATAAATGTAAAATATCCATAATATTCATGCCGAGAAAACTAAAATTTAACATTAATAAATGTAGTTTTGCGAAATCATGCGATTGACATTTGATCCACATGAATCTGTGCGACTGACTTTACATAAGCAGCGTTGTTTTTTATTGTTAAATTTGAACCCTATAGCCATAAACACTGAAGTGACGAAAACCAAATGGTTAAGTGTTTTTTGTAAAAAATTTCAGGAGAGCAAATCAACAATTGTACGGTGATGTTCTTTAGTTTTTTTTCCATATCTCCTTAAAACATTAAAGACAAATTGTAAAACGAGTACAGGTAGAAAAATGTAACGTTGACAAAATATAATGTATGATCAAAAACTCATTTTTCAAACGATGGTCACTTGTATCCTTATGGGTCTCATCGTTTCAGTTACACAGATATTATAATGTGCTTAAAATCACCAATCGTAGTTTATTAGGCCAATTTTGGAACATTGAAAATAATTGTACCTTTTAGGTTGGTCATGTGTGAAGTTTTGTGTAAGATGTATGCATCTTCAATAATACAGTGTGATAAGTTAGGTTTGGTTAGGTTAGGTTAGGTTAGGTTAGGTTAGGTTAGGCAATGTTGAGTTGGTGTGTGGGGCTCCCACTCAAACAAAGTTGTATATTTATTGTCACAATAAATGGCATCGAAAACTGGGGGGAAGTAATGCCACAACAGGCAAGTGCCCCCCCCCCCAGTTTACTATGGATGCGTGAAAGAAAAAGAAAAAGGTTAGGTTAGGTTAGGTTTGGACTACGATTTTGAAGTGTAAAAAGAATGTTAGGTTAGGTTAAGATTTAACCTACCACGACCTTCCCCCGCCACTAGAAAATTGTTGTACCTATCTGAACGTATAAATGTCATACCCCAACGGTGTGCGCCACTGACTTTGGTAAGTCAGTGGCGTGTTGTACTACTGACCTTTGTGAACCGGACCTTGTGCGTGTCCTTGTTGTGGTGACGGTGTAAGAGGAGGTGTTGTTGGTGACGGTCGTGCTTTTGGTGTGGGTCTCTGATGACGAAACGGAGGCGGCGGCGGCAACGGATATTATGTGGTTCTAGGCGAGGGGTGGGAGACCGACCGATTGCGGTAAGCCTGTGGAGAACCAGTAGTGAACGCGTTTACCCAGTATAGTTACCGGACGTGGACCGCTGCTCGGGGGTTACCGGAAACCGGAGTGGACGCCGCAGCACGGGGTTGAGTCCGCGTCGTTTGCCGACGAACACAGGAATACCGCGGTAGATTATTATAATTATAATTGTTCCCTATTGGAGGAACTGACCGGCGTGCGGTTTGAGGAATCGACGGGACGGTTTTAACGGCGGCGGCGGCGACGAAACAGAAAGTGAGGTGATTGCGGAGAAGGTGATGAGCGCGCGCGAGTAGCGGTGATGGTGGCGGCCGGGCACTGTCTGCGTTCATGGGGCGGTACGCGCGCGCTTTTCGCCCGGCCCAACTTCGGCGGGACGACCGGGACGCCGCCCGCGGCCGCCGCCGGTGTCGGCCAACGCGTCCACTCCATAATTATTATTACCGACAGAAATGTTTGTTATTAATAATTAAAGGGTGATTTATTAAGGATAAGACCCCAAAGCTGTGCAAATCCTTATCTGGATGAAAAATGTGTTCCCTATGTACTGGTTTTATATATTTTGTAATTATTGTAGTATATTATATTATATTTAAAAAAATTAATAACTTAAAATAAGCACTTACAAGCTATTTAAATATAATATGATTAAAAATGATTTATATAATTATTTTTGAAATTATTTAAAAAAAAAAGTATTTGAAAAACTTTTACTCGACTGTCTAGATCATTATTTAGATACCGTTTTATTCAATTGATGCACTGCTCTGGATGAGACAACAGATAACTGCAGTTTTATATTTTTTTTTATTTGAAAATATGTTCGTTTATGTTGTTTGACACAATTTTACAATTATCTCTAAGCGTTTAACATTTTTTTTAGAGTAATTACCAGAGCTTTGTCAACTTTTTTAATCTTAAACGGATACGTATATATTTAATATTACCTTTTTAGACAAAAAAAAAACAATTAAATGGGATAGTAATAAAATATGATAATACTACACTCCACTATTCCTCGCCCGTCCTAAACTTTAAACTTAAATAACTTGAAAAGTAATTACTCAAAACTGGTCATCGGCCAGTCAAAATGAAAAAATAATTAAATTTATAACATTAAAATTCGACATAGATCTGGAAAAGAGATAGAAATTTCAATATTACCAATCTAATATTGTAAAATAACGTAAACATTGAAAAATATTACAAAATTGCAGTTATTATAAGACCAATTTGGTGCCTTACCCTTAACGAGTTACCTTGTACAACACGGTTGCATCCTGGTAGAAAAAAAAATTATTTTTCCTCCTCTGGAGCTCGAGAAGAGTAAATAATAATAAATATAATATAATACAATGCATTGTGGACAAAGCGCAAACGCTCCGTTGTACAGGTTCGTTTTTTAGAAAACTTAATATAAATACCGTACATTTTTTTTTATTATAAAAACCCCATTCAATATATTGGGAAACATGAAATGCCTATAACACTCTACAGTAATAATAGTACTATTATATAGGACTAGTTTTGGTTAAGGTTTTCGGTTCATTTGAGTGTAATTCGATTGTGCGTGGGACGACACAAATTGATACATTGTCACATTTTCTGAACTTATGGGAAAACACAATGCTAAAGTTTTTAATTAGTACTAAAATTTACTAAGACCGTTGTGTTATTTCTATAATTAGGTAGGTACTATAAATACATTCCTTGCGGCCTTGCTGTAAGTTTAAACAGAACCGAAATACATCCATACAGCTAATAACAATTAATTAAAAAATGTGTAGGTTGCCATTTGACTTTGAAAAGTTAACCTTTTAAAACCGCCCCATAAAAATGTTTCTATCCAACTTAAGTATAATTGTTGATAATTTAATACAACAACGATTTGGTTTAAACCGGTTTTAGCTTACGCGATAGTTATTTTATAGAATTAAAGTAATATTATGTTTAAAATATATATTGGCAACCACAGTTTGATAATGAAAATACTCAGACTTGAGATTAGAGATTTGAAATAATAATTTGTGAAATTTCAAGTTTCTCAAAATTTAAGTTTGTGTTTGGTTTGTAAAAAAAAAAAAAACAAATTAACTATGAAATTCTAGTTTTTTTTTTTTATACAAATAAGTTATTACACTACCATTTTTTATAGTCGTTTTAAAATTATTTAACTCTTTTATTACAAATACAAATAAGGTCCCTTTTTCCTTAGTTTAACAGCTCTAATGTACTTAAATACAATTCTTCGTATGTACCGTGGTCATAGTACATGTACTGGTGTATAAGAATTTTTGTTTTCTTAGGCTTTTGAATAAATTTATAAACGTTTGGTAATATTCCTCCGCAATCCGTATTGGACAAATATCGATCACCGATTTAAACTGATATACAGTCGTATAAAATGTAATTTGAATATTTGTATTTTTTTTATTTTTTTTTTATCGAATTTGTACACAGAAAACATTTTATGAAATTTAAAAAACCGTTTTCGCAACGCGCTAAATCTTTTTACCTTTGTGCCGTCACGTTTAAAGTAAATTGCATTCGAGGCGCATATTTATATGGTACCTAACAGACGCCTTTGTAGAATTTTAATGGAACGTTTCAGAGCACACACGCCTCGTGGACACAGTTTGTCCCCAACCCTTTTTGTAACCAACAGCCGCCCCCGAGGCACCACTAAGGGGGTTCGTTCAAAGGCAACACCGGGAAATCATTATAAACAGTGTATTCGATAAAATAACTTTGACAAAAGCAGCAGTATCCAGAATGCTGCACATTGTTTCAGCCTGGATGCTTAGCTGAGCACAGGCATTGGTTTTTACAACATTTGCTGCGCCTGGACCCAAACCGTTGAACCGATTCCTTCCTGGAGCCAGCCAAGGCGTAGCGAGTCCTGTCTGTGGTTTTTGTTAATCGATAGAATGTCCCACAAGCCCCAGGTTGATTTCCACAATGGTAAATACTGAGGATTGGGTGTACCTACGTCAAATCCAATGGGAAATGTCGAGAAAATGAGAAAAGAAAGTCTTCCGAGTCGTTTAATAATTTGTCATGTTTGTGTTTGCAGTAACTGTTCCGCTCTACGGACTACCATGTAAAGAGTGTACACATGTGTTGAATAGGATTTTTTTTTCCACGCCATTCGCACACCGAAAGCGATTACAAAAGCTTTGCCGGATGACAAAATCGAAAACGCACAAATCCGCAAAGACTCGGTTTGTACAAAGACAGATCTATATGCCGGCCGCGAGGTTAATCCAATTTTAAAGAAAAAACAATTCATTTTCCTTGCAAAGTGATTGTTGTTGTTTTACATCACTCCAGATCTGACCAAATTGCATAAAAAAAAAAACAAAGTTTCTCGGTTTAAAAACTACTCTCAGATAACTATTTGCACTATTTAACTTTTAGCAATTAACCTTAATACGGTACTAATTTTGACTGACTATTGAATGTAATTTTTTCACCGTTAAATATAATACAGATTTTATTAGAAACCTTGTTACCTTGTGCTAATAGTACCCCAATGTAGAGAACCGGACAGATATTATATGCTAAACATTTAACCGAGTGTGATTGGAAAAGAGTACACTGAGAATATATCAACGTACGCCATTACCGTGTCACTGAAAAGTTAAGTTTAAGTATAATACACTATTATGTAAACGTACAACAAATCCCAGAAATCCGGATGTCCTTTGGGAAGAGGGCTGCATTCCATCAGGACCGTCTGTTGTCAAGTGGTGTCTTTGGGTTCCATCCGGAATTCATCTTTAGTTAGGTGAACAGAAAACATTGAATTTCAATGAAAAAACACCATCATGCAATCATTTTTAACGTAGCCATTATGTTTTTAGTCTGAAAATCAATTCTATCCCAGTTAAATACTGTTATTAATAGTTTCTTATCAATTATTTGTTATCTCTTATCAGTTATCCGGGTATTATCCAGTTATGCTTATCACCATCTACGCTTATCATTATTTCCTCCCCTCCAATCTTATCCATAATTATCCGTACCCACATCTACTATAATATATAGTGTTATTATTGCTAAAATAGGCAAATATTTGATGTACTAATAAATAAATTCCATCAGGACCGTCTGTCAAGTGGTGTCTTTGGGTTCTATCCGGAATTAATCTTCAGTTAGGTGCTCAAAATCTGTGTACACTAGTTATATAAGGTATCGCGGTACCAAATATATTAAATATACACATCAGTTACATGTGTATTGTGTAGAGTTTTAAAGTATCAACAATGAACTTTACAAATCTCTGGTTTGACAAGAATCTTTGAGAATAAAACGCTGCTATGTACGTACAAAATTAAGTTCCTTACTTTACACTATATTGTCTAATAAAAATGCATTCTTACAATTGACTTAAAGGTACAGCATGTTTGGCATTTGCCAGAATTTGTTGTCGTTGAACAACAACAAACTGCTTTATTGGAATACGATCAGATGCCAAGACATTCGATACCGAACAGCGTGTGGCTCAGTGTTAAGAATGTTGTACAGTTATATTGGAAAAGATGTTTTCAAAGATCGGGTTACCCAGTTGTATCTGAACACCTCTATCGTACGACACAGGTAACTGGCGGCGATAATACTATTTTAACCATTTTTTTTTTGCCAAGTAAAATAGCATAAAAGAATTTTTAGTTAATTATCAGTCACATCGGAATAGTCATTGAAAATACCATTTAAACCGTTAGGTGTGCTTAATTATGACAGAATTGTTTTATTAATTCAAAAATGGTATTTTAATACAATTGTAATGCATATCATTTTTTCTTTAACAATTAATCAGTTATACTATATAAGCATTAAAATAGTGTCTCTGGATAGCGAAGTACCAATAGTAAGACATTTTTTGTTTGGATTAGACATTTTCTGGAAAACTGGAATGAAAGCTAACAGCACTGTTCATTATTTTTTTAAACTGTACTCTTACCTTTTTGGTTTTCATCACTTCGTGCATTTTTGTTTTGTTTTTTGATCCGCCAATTAATAAACCAAGTTTCTGGAAAAAGTAACAAATGCTTTGACAAAAAGGTTCCGTACAGAGAGTTTCAATGAACTAAGTTTTAAAACTGTGCATAGTTCGAAATGTTGTCGCACTTAAAATCTTTTGTTTCAAAAGAAACTATACTTTTCTCCTTTCGACAAAATGCGCGTTCGTTGTGAACTGAACATAAATAATTGTCAAAGTTTTTGGGAATTAATTTATGTAAAGCGATTCAAATTCGATCGCGATAAAGCGTAAATCCGCAATTATACCTTTTAATGCTTTCATTGTAT